CTGTGGGGTCTATCGAGGAGAACTGGAATGGCCTTTCTGCAGGCACCACGCCGCTCTGTGCCTCTGTTAGGTGCAGGAATGTGGGAGATGCAACAGGCCGAGTCTGTGCGAGGCACCTGCAGAAAGCAGGGGACAGCCCAGCTTTGGGAAGCGCTGCCATTGCTGTAGGCAAGAGCTCAGCTTGGCTGAGGTGAGGGTGGTTTGTTGTAGTCTTACCCAGGCACTCCCACCTCTGGTGGAGGTGCGTTGAGAACACTGAGGGACTGAGGGCATTTGTGGCTGCATTCATCTCCAGCCCCGTTGCCATTCCCGCCGGGCAGTTGCCCCATTTCAGGTCAGTGTGACTGCACTTCACATGCAGACTTTGGAAAGGCCACAAAACAGTGCTGAAGAGAAGATGATCGTGCAGCGGAGCCCGCGGCCGCTGCTGAGAACTAATGGCACACAGACCTGTAGTTCAGCATCAGCGTGTGGTAGGAAGGCAGCGTGAGGGGTCCAAGCAGCCCAGGGCCGTCCCTGCTCACCACTTTCCTGCCCCAGCCCTGCTTCTGAAGCTGCAGCTCAGCTCCCAGCGCAGCCCAGTGGAGCACATCTCCATCAGCACCGCTCGACTGCAGCGCTGTGCTGGAAGCTCACGAGCTCACTGGGCCCATCCCGGGTTGCTGACGGGCGCTGCCCTCACAGCTTCCCACTGCCCCAAACCATCGCGCACCCAGCGCTGTGCCGGGAGCGCGGCCGCCTCTCTTTTCCACATCATCGCAGCTTATGGGAGACGCCATTTGGCTCCGGCTTTGCGCGACAGCAAATAACCATTTATGTAACAACGTGGCTGTGCGTTACTTTCCGCAGCGGCTATCAGTGATGGCGTGAGGTGCTTAAGGAAAACCTCCAGCGGTCCCGAAACGCACAGCGGGGCGGCAACCGGTGCCGCTGAGCCCGGCGGGGCTCAACCCGAGCAACTTTCCCAGCGCCCGCGCTGAACTTCAGGACGGGTTTTTCTCCCCGAGGAGCTCCGAACCGGGAGCGCCGCTGCCGCTCCGCGCCGTGCGGCTTCGCCCGCGGGCAGCGCCGGGGGAGGCGGCCGCGTCCCCCACAGCCGGAGCGGCCCCGGGCCGGGGGCGGAGCGGCCCCGCGGCGGTGCGGCGAGCCCTGACGGGGCGCGGGGCGGGGCGGGCGCGGAGGGCGGAGCCGGCGGGGGCCGGGCGGGCAGCGCCGTCGGAGCGCCGCGCAGTGCGGAGCGGAGCGGCGGCAGCGGGAGGCGGCCGGGCTTCGGCGGAGCGGGTTGCACGGCCGGGCGGTGCGAAGCGGAGCGGAGCCCCCCGCGGGATTACATTGCGTTGCAGCGAGGTGCTTCGGCGGGGCCGGAGGAGCTGGGGCCGGGCCGCTGCTTCTCCCCGATGGAATTCACCTGAGCGCGGCAGGGACGGTGCCCCGGCGGGAGCCCGCTTTGTCTCCGGAGAGGACGGGCATGACTTTTTAAAACCAATCCACCGGCCTAACAAAGCCAACCCC